TAACATTCCATGACTTTATGGGTGTGTATCTGTTGAGATTATAATTTAAAATCTTTCAATATACTTAGGGGTACCACAACAAAGGTTCTATCATAAATCGAGACAAATATTCAGGGAGCTGAGAAATGTGGGACTTATTGAGTTTACAAAAGCATCAAAGGAATCTATATTTGACAAAATTGACAATCTTTTATACAAGAAGTAGAATTACATTCATAGACAACTGTAAAAGGATTGGTATATGACAATATTTCACTATTAAATCTGCATGGTTGATGGAAAAAGATGATGATATAAAACTTTGGGAAAGGTGTTTGATGGACTAAATACATGTGTTCAATGGTTTAAAGCACTTAAAAACTATTTTGAAATTATATTCGAAAGGCTTTTCTTTTTCTTGAAGAGGTGAAGGAGGAGGAGCTTTATCTTCAAAATAGGTAAAGTCTTGGAGAAAATCTATTATTTTAAATTCCATGACAATGGTTGATTTTGAAAAAGACACCATAAAATAGAATGGTTTATTTTGGAAGTAACACTATATGAGAGATGGTATATGGATGAAAGAATGGATATTGAGATGGATCCCAATAGGTCAAATTTCATGATGAACATAACTTTAAATGAGAAGAGATTGATATTTATAAAGTAGGTATTTGGCTCGTGCATCAAGGGTTTTTATTGCAATGAATTGTTATAATTTATGAAGGGACTTGTCCCGCTAAAATATTAAGGTCATCAGGGAAGTAAAGTAATTTGAAGAGATTGGTTCTTTGGATGAAGATAGCTTAGAAAAGGTGATGATTTCAAACTTGAGGAAGAAGAAAGATTCATCATAGCTCTTATAAGAAGAATTTTCAAAAGTTTTAAGGGATTTGATCTAGATAACATGCCCGGTATAACATTATTCTTCCTTTTTATATGCTTGGTGCGAAGAACTTTAAAAACCACTATGATAATAGTAACAATTGTGCATTGAGCATTGGTTTCTTTTTTTTTTTTAAATTAAGCATCTGTTCAAAAACAGACATATCTAATTTAACAAGAAAATGATATCCAATGAGATGAAACTCAAACTTTTGAATTCCATATTTGATTGTCAATATCTTTTTGAAAGTGGAATGGTAGTAGATTTTCGAATCTTTGAACTTTTCATTTTTGCATCCACATGGTTTTCGTTTTTCATCTTTTCTTCCAGGAGTACTAGCTGATAAGAACTTATCACTTGCATCAATCTATAAGATTCTTTTGCCATCAAAAGAAATCTAGTGTTTGGAGTGACTTTCATTTGTCTTTAAATATTATTATTGATTGTGTATGCTTCTAATACCACAGAAGTGGTTTTTTCTTTAACATATGCTTGAATGTCGACATTTAGGTTAAATTGGTAAGAAATTCACTCATATAATTGATAATTTCGGCAAAACTGTTGGACTTGCCTTTTTGAGAAATTTTCATTGAGTGTTGAAAAAACATTAATTAAATTGCACTAAAAGGGGATGGTTATACTGCATCTAATCAATGTCAACTAGTCAATATAAAGAGGATTATGGCCTTTAGATTAGGTAGATTAATGTCAATTTAACCAGTCAGATCAACATTGATTTGTTGATTTGCTTCATTCAAAGTAGTTTTGTCTTAATCTGCCCTAAGCTAGATGATCGATACCAACACACCCTCTCCTTTTCCTTCTCTCCCTACTTTCCTCTTTTTCCCCTATTTTCTTTCTCTTCGATTCTTTTTTTTTCTTTTTTAATTTAAAAATAAAAAAATCATTTTTATCTTTTAATTTAAAATATAAAGTTTCATGTGTATAAATTTGAATTGTTTCCCTTGACGTTGTGGCAATATTTGTACACATGTAAAATTTCACTAGCTAACAAGCACACCAACATTTTCATTAATGGTGTTAAGGGCAAAAGGTACTTGATAGACAAATTCAAAGTTTGGATATTTGATTAAACATTTTTTTAATATAACAATCACATTGGATATTTTTATATTTATAAAGGTAGCATTGAATATTATTCCTAAAAGTTAGCAAATTAATAAATCTAATTAATTAATTAATTTACAAAATGATCTCCTAACCTTAAAACTTTATGTTAACTAAAATGTATAATGTAATCCGAAAGGGGTGAATTGGATTGAAAATTTTTAGCAAATTTAAAGTCAAGTACGATGAAATTTATAAACTAAGCAAATATAAAAGTAAAAAGCAATTTAAAACAAAAAATATGGAAGCAAAGATTATAGAGATAGATAAGCAAACAAAACAATGATAAGGTTCAGCTCATCTCCAACACGTTACTCCTGATAATTTCCTAGCCAAACCCAAACCACTATTAAAATATCTTTTTCAAATTACAATCCCTATATTTTAAAGGTTAAGATAGCAACATTTGCCCTTTTTAGGATTCCACCCAATTCTTCGTACAAAACTCTCAAAAGGATACCTCACTCCTTACTAATCCCCTTTGAAGACAAAGGAATTTAAAAACTAAAGAAAAACTCTAAAAGGTGAGTGTTTACAAGGTTTACTTACAAGAATGAAGAGATAAGACAATCAAATGATCTTAAATGAATACAAGAAAAAGAAGTTGAATAAAAAATGCTCTAGCAATGAAGAATATGAACTTCTGATTCTTTGGAGTGCAATCTCTTTCTCTTAAATGTGTTGGAGGCTCCCTTTTATGTTAGGATATCGTTTCTAGTCGTTTGTGAATGACTGGATTCGAAAAATAATCGGTAAATCCTTCATTCAAACTTGTCTGCACAAGATGATAGATCTTTTACTTAAAAGATCAATCCTTTTACTTTAAAAATTAAAAAATTTGACCGTTAATAAGTACTTTCCATTATGTGTGACATGACGTATTTAACTTTTTTAATCCATGAAAAGAATCGATTACTTAGTTATTAACAGTCAAAATTTTAATTTTTGAAAGAAAAAAATAAATCCCCTCAAGCAAAGGATCGATCCCCTCACATAGACAAATTTGAATCACGACAAAGTTTGAATGATTCAACAGCTATTTTTCAAATCCAATTATCTACAACAACTATAAATGATTTCTTAACATAAAAGTAAGACTCTAACACATTAAAGAGCAAGAGATACAAAGATTAAAGAATTCATACTCTTCCCTAGGGCATTCTAAGTGTTAAAGCTTGATTCTTTTGTATACAAATAATTTTGATTGTATTATCTTTTCATTCTTATACTTAAACCTTACATACATCATTCACTTATTAGAGGTTTTTATTAGTTTTCAAAATTTTTTTGTTTACAAAAGGGACTAGTAGCAAAGATTGGATAGAATCCTAAAAAGGATTGAGGCTACTATATTAACCTTTAAAAGATAGGAATTGTAATTTGTAAAAAGATTTTCTACGAGTAAATTGAGCTTGACTAGTATAGTTAAAGAAGAGAATGTAGGCACTTTATTGAAAAAGAACTGAACCTCTATGCATCGTCTAATTTGCTTCTATATCCTTATACTCTTTACTTTCATACTATTTTGCTTTAAATTTTTGTTTCACTTCCATGTTTACTTAATTATCAATTTCATCGTCATTAGTATTAAATTTACTTAAAATTTTAATAATTTAATTCACATTTATCTTAGATTGCTTTATACAGTTGAGCTACCAGCTAAGAACCTGGCTCCTAAATTCTAGAAGCTACAACATTTGAATTCTGCGTAACAATTTGTTTCTTTACTCATTTTTCAGCTGCATTGAAAATATTAAAACATAATGTACAAGAGTCAATCAGAGAAAACTATAACTAATTTAGCTCATTCCACAGTCAATTAACACAAAAAAAAATTAATTTCAAGCTAAATTTTGATTATAAACAAGCCAAAAAAAACTCCAAAACCCTAAATCTTCTTTTAAAAAAGTATAAAAAGCACCAAAAGAAAAAAGAGAAATGAAAGGATTACCGGTAGGTGAGGAACAAGCGGCGTGAATGATGCAGTGTTCCTGGACATTACAGCAGAATCCAACGGTGATCTCGTTGAGAGACGGCCGTTCCACACCGAGGCTCTATCGTTGACAGTAACTAGACCAGCCAAGACAACGTTTGGCGCCACGTAAGCGTCGACAGCTACCTTCGGAACCTACTGCCCGAGAGGGATTAGCTTTCTTTGGCCCATGTACTTCCACTTCACTCCATACGACGACGGCGAGATCGTTTTGGCCGCCTCCATAGCGAAACCACGGGAGGCGATGACATCGCGGTGAACGGAGAAGACCGAGGCCGCGGCCTTTCTGGAGATACTACCTGCAATAGATGTCGCCATTTGTGGTGGTCACGATGGAGAGAGAGAGTTAAAGGGTTTTAGAGCCTCAACACGAGTGACGATGGAGGAGAGAAACGAGAAAGGGCTGAAGGATAAAATCCCAAACCCAAATCAGATTCCTTCGGTGGGTTTCCAGCTGGGCCTACAATTGGCAATAAACAAGCCCAAAGAAAACAAAAGGAATTTATAAGTTCGGTTAAATTATGAAATTAGTTCATATACTCTAATCAAAAATAGAATTTAGTTTCTGTTCAATTCAAATTCTAACGGAATTAACTTTCAATTGTTAAATTACAGATGTCAACTTTTTTACTTTTTTTTTAACCGCGTAAATTGCTAATGTGGGATTTTCATACTTGACTCAAAACTCAACTATTTATACAATCTCCTTATCATCATATATAGTTAGGTCTACATTGATTCTTCCTTTTCCTTTTTTTCTTTTTTTTTTTTTTAGAGATGAGAAGAAGATGTATCTTCTGAAATTTTGGAGTAATAAACATCAGTCTGAGTTGCGTTGCTTTTGGACTTTTGGCTTTTCTGGTATCTAAAACTTGGAGCAATTCAAAGCTAACATTTTAAATTTTATTAAAAAAATAAAAAATTATAAAATTTAAAATTAATTGATATAATATTCTTCCCTAATATTATTTACTTATTTATGTTTTATACAAAATATGAAGTTCACTTTTTATTATGTTTCTATCATTATTAAATATAAAATTTACTAAGAACTGAGTAAACAAGATGAAAATTCTCATCGTAATAAAAAGAATTTTCAAGACACCTAAAAAAATCTAGTAGTATTAATATTGTCAAACTATTAAGAGAATAAGTAGGTGAGAGCTGAAAGCATATATTGGCAGAACTTAGAGCATACATATTACAGAAACAAACAAATTTTTTCCCCTTGCAGCTACATTACAAATTTTGGCCTAGAGGAGCCAATACCGGGTCACTATAGTTAAAGGCATTAAGCTAAGGGCACTTGGTGACGTTTCCATGGGTTGTCATGCCAGTGTAGCAGGTCCCGCAGACCTCCCTGTTCCCTGAAGTCCCTGGTGGCACGCACTTGCACCTCAAGCAGCAAGTCCCACACGCCCTGTTGCATCTGTTTGGCCTTGAGTGCAGACTGCATCTTTGCTTGCACAGTCCTCCACAATCTGCAGCCCCATCACCACCCAAATTACAAGATGCAATTAACAAAATTTTTACTAATACTAATATTTCGTTTCCCAGATTGCTGCTGCATGGCATTAATTCTTGGGTTTCGAATATCTAAAACAGTTTTTGGAACATGGGCTTTGGCATTTCATGAATGAAAAATAGCAGAATGAGAATAAAAAGCCGAAGATCTTAGAAATTAAATTTAAACCCACCAATCTCTTGCATGAGTCTTCTATTTCCACCTCTGACAAGCAAGTAAGCCTCCTGAAGGTACAATGCATAACTAATTGAGTCATTTAACCATAAAAGTAGTACTAAAATTTATCAAGTTTAAAACAATAACATTAACAGCCACGTGATATAGTGCTGAAGTTTTAGTTTTAGGATATCAAGTACCAAAAAAAAAAAAAAAAAGAAATATATCATTTGCCCAACAGTCACAAAACTCGTAAAATGATGAACTATTAGTTTCAGTAATCAATATAAGAATCATAGTAACTTTAAATATATATAAAAAAAAACATATATTCATTGATCATACAGAACACAGAAAGAAAAAGAAAGACTTGTGGATATTTTCTCTTGTTCTATATATACATACCTGATCAACATTGGTTATATCTTGTTCTGTCTTGAGATCAGATGAAACCTACATTGAAGAAAGTCAAATATAATTTAAAAAGGGGTTAAACTTAAAACCATAAACCCAACATCTGAAACTCGACAGTAACAACTCAATGCTAATTACCTCTGCAAGACAGAGTAGCAGAACACCTAATGCAAGAAGCATCCGGACTGCCATGGCAGCTTTGTTTTTAATTATGATACTAGCACAAAGTGGCCTCGACATGGCATTGATCTTTATAGTGGTCTCGTTCTGGGTGAGTTTACTTAACTGGCCAGCCAACTTTATTATTATTACGACAAGACCACCCTGTTGGCTTTCGGATACTAAATGAACATAGAATAGTTAAGACAACGTGTTAAAACAAGGTTGTCTAAAAATTAAATAAAAATATATAAATTATATAAATTTAAAATTTAACAAAAATTATAAATAAATTTAATAAAAATAAAATATATAAATTTCGTGTTTAATTTATTAATATTAATTATAATAACATGAAATAAATAATTATAAATATATAAATTATCCTATTAACATGTTTGAAACTTAAAATTTCTATTAAAATAGTCTAGTCTTAAAAAAGTTTACTTAGTTATTATGATTTAGAATTGATGTGAACTAAAATTTGAAATACGAGTCAACTTAGAACTCGGTCAGTACTACTATCTTACTGACTTTAAAGTTTGAAGTACTGATTATAAAATCTACTAGTAATAATGATTAAACTTTCCTAAAGTTATACCCAAATTTTTTTGGAAAAAAACAAGGACTCAAGACTTGACCCACTCAATTTATTACCTTTAATTGAAAAAAATTATTTACACATATAACAACCTATCGAAATTATATATATTTCAAAAAATAAGAATTAAATTGAAAATAAATAAAATTAAAAAATGCATATTGATATAATTTATAGGTATAAAAAATGTTTACGTAGCATTTTCCGAATGAACATAATTGAATTTACCCTTAACAAAATGGGAATAATTGAATTGATTATAGGATAACGTAAAAATAAAAAAGATATATATATATATATATTCTGCTAATAATGTCAATAAATATTAGTTAAAATATTTTTTTACAAAAAATATGTTGTTTGAAAATAAAAAAAGAATTACTGATATTAAATTTGAAACTCAAACATATTAAAAATTAATTTTTAAAATTAATTCAATTAAACTTTAAATTTAATTAAAATATTATTTTATATTTTCTTTCCAAATACAGTGTTTTATAAAATCCAAAAGTGGATAATATATTAAGATACATAATTTTTTAGTTTTATACATATGTAAATTAATTTTTTATATTAATTATATATATTTTTATAAATATCACTTTATAAAAGCAACAATTAACATTTGCCTTCGACAAAAGATTGGTAATACTGCTATGAATGAATTTATGATTCATTAATTTTTACAACAAGCCTTTGCCTCATCAAAACATACCCAGGAGGCTAAGAATGAGCAAAATATCTCCTTTTAACTTTTTTGAAACAAGGGATGGAGTGGAATATATCTGTTTGAATCAGCAAGTGTTATTGCAGACAGCTGTTTGTGCTCTGTACTCCAACAAATCTATGTTCCCTACCTAGGTTAGGTTAGTCTGAATGAAAAAAAGAATTAATGAATTAAAAAGAAATAATAATAATAATTAATATTATAAATTATTTTAAAATTATAATAAAATATTTGATATAATATTTAAATTTTAAAAATTATAAATATATTAATTACTTTAATATATTAAAGATTATCTATTTATTATTTAAAATTAATTATATTATTAATGAATATTAAATTAATTAATAAATTAATTATTTAAATATTATATTAAAATTTTATTTAAAATTAAAAAATTATATTAACTTTAATAATAATAAATCTCATGCCCTTGTCCGGACTCAGAACTGAGGAGGCCCAAAGGACTGACAACAGCTTCTTTTGGTATTGGCTGTAGCCGTGGAGCCCCAGCCAGTTGTCTTCTTCACCATTACTGAAGCGGCGCCTCCACTCCAGCTGGATTTCACATTTGAGATGAACATGTCCAGCTTGTCATATATCTGGCGTGCAATGTTTTGGGATCCGTGAGCTAGCTAACAAATTAGAGCCTGCCGCATGTCAATATAGATTAGCCCAAGATTTTTTATTTCATTAAAAAATTACTTTTAATTTAAATGCAATATTAAATAACAAAAATTTTTAATTTTTTTATTTAAAAGTTTGATTTTTCAACTGAAATCTAAAAATTCTTCAAGAAATATTTTTGTAATGAAAAATACGCTTAAAAATCACTTTATTGTTTTATATTTTTAATATTTTAATATTTTATACATATTTTTTAAACATTTTAATTATTCATAATATTTTTTAATATCAAATACTTAAAATTTTTAATCATATTTTTTTTAACATACTTTTTAAAAGCTCCTTTCCTCCGCTCCTTTTAACTGCAACAGTAATGCTAAAATGACTCTAATCTTACTCAAAACAATTGTTAATAACTTAAACCAATATTTCAAAATATACAACTTTTATTTATCCAATACATAAAAAGTTACCGTATTATTTCTTCAATTATTTCTTTTTTTTTATATATATCTACGTCTTTCAATTAAACTTGATATTTTAAAATAAGATATATAATTCACTATGAATAAAATATATAAATGTAATACAATTTAAAATTTTAATAATAATTTTATATGATTTAATAATATTAAAAATATATATTTTATATTTTCATATAAATACTTATTTTGATATATAAATTTTTTATAAAACACATAATAAATATATAAATTTTAATATTTTATATGACACGAATTGTTGAGTTTACTCTCAACGAGAAAATGCAAGTTTTATAAAATTTAGTTTAAATATAAAACTGATTTTGATGAAACTATAAATAAAGATGACAATGAAATTAAGTAAAATTAAATACTGTAATAATAAAATTAAAACAAAAAATGTTGGCATCTGTTTGAATGCAATTGTAATCCGGTGTCTTACCAAAAACAGCCAACTACCATTATCGAAAACTCTGTTAATTTTCATTTTTACACTAAACGCAGTTGATTCTCCTAAAATCCAATAAACCACTTAATCTTCATCCTTCCAATTTTCGATTGAGGAGGGTCACATCATTCCCAATAATATTGGAGTATGTAGATTGAAGTATAAGATCGGTGCAACTAAAGTCCACATGTAAAATACAAAATAAGGCATTAAAAACTTACAGAAAGAAAATTTTAGGAGTGCTGGAATCAGTTTTCATTCAAGGACCATCAGCTTATTCAATTCCATTGGTCCGCGGCCTAAGGCCATGAGCATAAAATAGCAAATATTATTTCTCTAAATGTCTTTAATATTCGCATAAGTTTAGGTGTCATCATATCCAAATCTCATCAAAATGACTGAAATTAGATTCTTTGTTGTGCAATCAATCAAAATTTGATCCATGGATTCAAGGACAATATGATAGCCAAATTGGTTTTTTTGGACAGGAACATTATCTGTCAATGCACGTCTGCATGATCTTGAGATTTCTATAACGTGTTTCTGTGCCACTTTTTTCTGTTTCATCTATCATAGGTTGTTTACAAACTGAGGAAAAACACTATATTGCCATCAAATTTTTGTAATCTTCCATAATTTATCTCTTGCTAGAAAGAATACCTGGTCATATTTTAGTGATCATTAGACCCACAACCCACAGTAACCAGCCATGCTGCATGATCTTCTTCTGCACGTAGTTGAGTCAACTCCACATTCCTCATCAGTGAAACACCTATGGTCGCCACGAGAATCAGGGATGTGGCATGCACTCTCAATCTTTTGGACACCATATCCTGATCTCACAGCTATTGCAGGACAGACTTGTAGAGACATTGCACTTGCACGTCTTTTTTGCTGTTCACTCTGCACCATAAACACTCATTACTACTTTGTTTTTACTTGTTACATCACTAATTAGGATGGTAAAATTATGGCATTTTCATAAGTGAATGATTAAGAGAAAAGCGGAAGGAAGACCTTTGCGTAAGTCCAATTGGTAAGAATGTATGTCTCTGGAAGCCTCTCATGCCATGAACTTAATACTGGAAGAGGATGACCCTCGGTTGTGAAAATATAATTCCGATCAACCAAAAAAGTATCATCAAAAAGAAGATACAAATACTTGCACCTAGAGAAAATGGAAGACAATTCAGGAAAGCCCTCGGGTTTTCCGGATGCAATTTTATATCCTGATGGCAGAAAGGCCAAAGAAGGAAAGAAACAGAAACAAAAAAGAAAAAAAAGTAAAGTTATCTCACGTTTCAGCAAGAAAGAAGCTATGTTGATGATCTTCCAACTGCATAGTCGTCACATCTCTAACACTTGCAAATCCTCCTTCCACTTTGGTGTATGAGTTAAGAGAATTGACAATTGATTCACCAACTTGTATGTACCATGGATCTGTATTCAAAAAAGATTTTTAACTTTATATAAAAAAATTCATTACTATAGCGAGCTACCAAAAGTAGCTATTAAATAATGAATACAAAAGTAAGGAAAATAAAAACTTAGAAGATACAACTGATAAAGAAGATTAGCAGACCTTTGGTTGCTTGATATAGATAGAATGTGGACTCTGCCAACTCTGGCCGCAGAGGATAATACTTTTCAGTAGGATGTAACATCTGATGGTCCAGCAAATACCTAGACCAATTCTATACTCAGGTGACTATTATATGGATGAATGATGAAACTAACCACATGTCCATAGCCATAACTAAAAAACCATAAGCTCCTAAATTCAAAGTTCAAATACCTTTCGGGTAGAACTCCAAATTTCTCCCATACATAAACAAACTCACGGTGTGATGAATTAGCAGCTCCAATATCCCCAACAAGAACCTAATACAAGAATTCAAACATCAAATTAAAAGACCCTTTCCAAGTAAAAAACTAGGAACCCGAAGTCAGGGGCTTCCGTTACTTGCCTGTAAACCAGGCCAAAAGGCTTGAAGACTTGTAAGCTGCCAATATGTCGCTTTTCCTGTCCTCATATCAGCTTCATGGTACCTTTATTAGAACAATATGCCCATAAACAGTTAGTGCTAATTTGTAAAGCTCTCAAATAAAGTTATTCCATACAACTTTAAAAGCTTGCCATGTGTCTTTTACATTAAATAGTATATAAATTAGAAATTTTCCAAAATTCAAATTGTCAAGACTTATAAGAAAGATTTGATAGAACAAGTAAATAAGATCTAGGGAAAAGAGAAAATGAAGTATCACCGCAAAATTACTGTAAGTAAAGCCTAGATACCTTGGTCTCTTAGGAAAAATCCAAAACTAAAAGCTTTGCTCTGAAGGATTTCAACCAACTCTCCTATTATTGCATATCATTACTAATGCAAATAATCAGTATATAATATGATTCTATGACGTCAAAGTTGTTTTCCTGTTTAACCTTGTGGCCAAGATCCACGGTTTAGACAAATTGATGGAATTAAGCTGAGAAACATTTTATAAACATGTCTGGATATTATTTACTTGGCTGAATATTACTATTAATAATGCACATCTACTCAGATAAAATGAAATTGATATAAATATTTAAGAATATTTTGAGCGCATAGATTGTGAAAAGAGACAGTGTAAATGAACAAAATAGAATAATTAGGCGAATATGTTGCTTGAACTCATGAGTGCCAGATACAAGTACATTCAATTTTTTGAAGTTTCTCCCATAAATGGAGGGTCAGAAAGCCATACCCACATCTGTCAAATACGTTATGGACATGGGTGCTTCAAGAAAAATAAAGAGTCAAAGCAACAGAGATTAGGACCCTTGTGCATCAACAAATAACCCATTCAATTGTGGGGTTGGGAGTAGATGAGCTCAGCCTCAACGGATTTAGATAAAATTCAGCATGGGACAACATGATAAAGCATTCAACTAAAATTGAGAAAGGGTCATCAATGCAGTACCATGGGCCGTGTCTGAAATACTTCTGTACTGAAAGATAAGCAGAATGAAACATTCTCCAATAGTCCTCCTTTCCGAAAAGAATATAAGCCTTGCATAAGTACTCATAGAATGAATCAACCCCTTAAAAAAGCCATACAAAATCTAACATGAGAAAAGTAATGATAATAACATAAAAGGGTTGATGAACCCAATCAACCAATTCAATTGGGAAGTGTTTCAAATCTAAAATAGAAAACAAATGCCACCCAAATGACCAAACAATGCCAATATATTTTAGCAACGCTCTCTACTGCAAGATAGAAGATACTGCATGATATTAAAGCCCAGATAGCACATACCAGCTCCAATGCCAGATGAATATTCAATCCATTCCCCAGTTGTTACATCCAGTGTTGTTCCAAGTAGATTTAAGGAACTACGCATGCTCCATAATTTGCGTAGAGCACGTAAAGCTGCAGATTCAAATCTGGGGTCACCAGTTAATCGTGACAATGCTCCCATTTCAAGAATCAGAGAACCTGAATAGAGATGGCAAATAAACTATTTCAGGATGGCATATTTTATGATGGACTCGTCTTACATTGTTCTATTAAAAGTCTTACCACACCCTGAAGTGCTCGTTTCAGTAGTCTCATTCTCCATTACTCCGTACTGTCCACAGAATTTGCATTGATGCGGAGTCATATATCCTCTTAACAAACAAAATCAACAGAGCATATTCATACTTTGAAGAAATTAAAAGGTAAACTTCTGATTAAAAAGATCATGTGAGCACAGGTAAGTCTCAAACATGTCAACAAGAGAGGAAATCAGCCAAGCATCAAAGCGTCTTAGCTTTTCTAAAGGCTGTTTGCCCCATGGTTTTGTTGGACAGATTTTTAAGCACATTTGCATTTTAACATCAGTAGTTTATTAGCAGCACAAATGTCTGTATGCAACACTAACCATCACAAAGTATATTATATTTTAAAATTCAATATGTGATACAGCCCTCACTAGCATGTTTTAGGCAATACCTTTAAGTTAATCCAGGCGTATGGCAGCCCAGTTGGTGTATCAAAAGCAGGTAAAAAGCGGCGCCCCAAATCTTCAGCAAGATTAAGTAGCTGATTCTTGTAAGATCCTTGAATCAACCTGTTTGTGGAATCAGTTGCAAGAATATGAGCAGCAATAAGTCCTCCAAGAACTCTTATGTTGCACTACACAACAGAAATCAAGTAATTAGAAATGCCTCATGTAAACTGATCTTACTGAGAATGAGAAATACAACTCTAAAAGATAGAACTAGTGACTCCAGTATCAATAAGTTTCAACTATCATCAATTACATTATGAATAACTAACAAAAATGCAATACAATAAAGAAGAAGATATCATATTAGATACCTCAAAAAGATTTATCCTGGCATCGGTGTTGAAGGTCAGGTTTTCAGATAGCCATATAACTGCCCGTTCAAATTCTGTGTTATTACCCATGATAACAAGGCTGAGAAGAGCAGAAAACTTGTATCAGAACAAGGACTCTGCATAAGTAGCAGAATTCACACACACAAGCAAATAATAGCTGGTGTAAGATGCAAAATTAATTTATTGCTTACAAATTTGTTTTAGGTAACAGGTTATACCTGGACAATGATTCAATAAGTGTAAGGGCAGATCCATTATAGTCTTGAGGTAAGTGTTCAAGCTGCAAGTTAAAGAACAGATTGTTATTATTTTATTCAGTTAAATACTGTTATTCTCAACTAATAATTTATTACCTTCAAATTTCCAAGCTCACTGAGAGAGTCAGTGAAGCTTTTGGTAAGAGGCTTCAGCTCATCATGCTGTGAAGAATTGAATATGATTCAATATCAAGTGCAAGAAAAGATACATACTGGCTTATCAAAATGAAAACATGAACTGACCGGGAACGCATGTTTCATGTAGTTTTCATATGCATGATAGAACCTGCAAGGAAGAGAAAATAAATCAATTGGCCCAAAAAAGATTTTAAAAATAGATGTAAAATCCAGAAGGCACAAAATTCAGAAAATTGAACAAATTCAAAGGCACCAAGATTTAGTTGCGGTCAGATTTTGATATAGCCTCCAGTACTTCAATCAAAACTTCATATTCCTTTGGTTGCTAAAAAATTTCTTTCCCAGGATGCAAAATTCTCAATGGAAACATGCCATTTGCTGTATCAAGTTCAATCAAGTATATAAAAATATAAATTTTCTAGGTCCTGATCATTCGTTGCATTTTCTTTTCCTTCTCAATATTTCCTCAGGAATCAAACAGAAACAAACCCCCCCCCCCCCCAAAAAAAAAAAAAAAACCTAAAAATTGACCAATACCCATTAGTCCAAACACATCAACATCAAAAACCCATTAATCAAAATTGGAATCTTAAAGCAAAATATAAAGGGATAAAATTTTGGGCTTACATCTTTCTAACTTTCTCTCTCATGTGTCTCTTCTTAGCTGCCCAAGGGGAATCAAGCTGAGACATGGAAGGAGCAAGAAAGCTAGGAGAAATGAGGAGGAACAAGAGAAGCCAAGTCCCATAATTGCGAGATAACAGCATGGTCTGGTCTTGTCTTGAATCAATCTTAACTGATTTTCTATGTTGCTGTAGATCAGGGGAGGATTTGAAGCTGATATTACTTCAAAGTTCAAACAAATGTGTTTATTTAACAGATTGAGCCAAGAAAAAAGGTTACCACTGGTAAATTAATCGAATAAGTATTGAGAATTGACATGGCATCCAAACAATTGACCAATCACAAGTTGTAGAAGAAACTTAACAGCCAATCACACGTTGGTCAAATAATCAATGTCTTTTTTGCCGAGTCAAAATGCTACGGTCATTTGATGCCAATGATTTCTGAGTAATAAAAATGCGAAACAAAACGAAAACCTACCGGCTATGCATTGACAAATTAACCTTATTCTTTTTAATTTTATTAGAATCAATAATGAATTGTAATGGTACGTATCGTTCAGATTAGGGTACAATAGAATGAGTTTGAATTGGTGTAATATTAAATTTTAGTTTAAGTTTGATTTTAAATTTGATATTTAAAATTTAATTTGAATTTAATTAAATTTTAATTTTTTTAATTTAAATTTGACTCAAGATAAATATTGAGTTATTCGAATTTATTTAATTAGATTCGATTTAATATATAAAAATAAATGTATTTTTTATATTTAATAAAAATTTGATTATTTGTATTTAATTTTTAGTTTAAGTTTAAGATATTTTATTAATTAAAATATATTAAAATATAAAAACTCGATTAAACTCATGAATTACTAAAATCGAATATAAAAATATTTAAACTCGACTCAATCGATAAATAAAATTACTCAAATTTAAACTTAATTTGATAATAATTGAATTGAATTCAAATTTTATTCGAATTAAATTAAAATAATTTATGAATACTAATAAATCATTTATATTCTTAATTAGACCCAAATTCCTAAAATTAAAAGTTTATTTTTTTATCATTAAATCACAAATGACAACAGACATATGTTAGTTGACTGTTGTGATGTTACCAAATCAAATTACGGTAAAGTTATTTGGGTTAAATGGATGAATACTTAGTATAACTTATTTAAAACGAGCCTAAGTCCAATATGAGATCTTAATACTTGCTCAAGCAACCTTCGAGCTTTATCTTTTATTTCTTTATATTTTGTTTTATTTAAAATTAAAATTTAATTTTATATAAGGTTGTTTACATTGTATCAGCTAATGTTTCCATTTTTTTAAAAAATATGATATATGTCAATATTAATTGTTTTAATATATTATTTCAAAATTTTTAATTTAATATAAATATATTTATAAATATATAAAAATTTGTATATTTTAATCCTATTAACAATTTATAAAATAAATATGTAATATTTTTAAAAATCAAATAAATAAATTTAAAAGTATAAGAAATAATATCATAAAATTTTCATGATATTTTTAAAGACTCAAATTGATCATACGAAATTTAAATAATTATTTTTATACTAATATTAAGATAAAAATAAAGAGATGAAAAAATTAACCTTGATTTTTTTGGGTTAAATTTTATAAAGAGAATACAATTTCTTTCTCGAAAGAAATTAAAATATTTATGAATTTTTGTTTGAAAAAAATAAAGTACAAAAAAAAGTTATAATAAAAAAATAGAGAAACTCAACTTTTAAAGGTTACTTTGTCAATTAATTGTATTTTTATCAAGTTAAAAATAGTTAAATAAAAAATAAATTAAAAAATAAAAAATATATTTTACATTCACGTACCGATTGAAATAAATTATTTCATTCAAATTTATTAAACTTGTCAAAACTAACGAAAATAATTAATATTACCTGATATCAAATCCAATATGAAAAATTATCATTAAATATATTGTATTTTGATATAACTAAAGTATACCGACTGATATGGTTGATACCGAAATAAATTAACAAATATAATTCATGCTCCACTTTTAGTCAAGTTTCGATTTGCTGACAGATAATAAGGAAGCTAAATTGATCTCGAGTGGTTTTGATTACTTTTCAAGCTGAGTTTTAATGCAAGAAATTCAATTTAGCTAGAGTTTAGGGTTTTTTTTTTTTAAATTTCCTAACTACTAATTTGAAGAATATATCGAAATTTATAATTAAGAAGTTTTTCTTTTGAAACTATATCACTACTTTTCCAATCAAACAAACTAAAGTACCTTTAAGCTAGTATATAAGATTGTGGCAAAAAGGTTAGTGTATAAGATTGAACTAATTTATAACTTATGCGATGCATAAATTAATTTTATTTATTTAATGTTAACTTATAATTAAATAATGATATGTTAAATTAAAAAAAAAATGAACAAAATATCACTTCAAAATTTCATAAATCACCTTGTTTAACAAATACCTTAAGAAGCAGGGGAGTTGACGAAGAAGAGTTGTGCCAAAGGTGTGGACAAGAAGAGGAAACAGTGATGCATGCGGTCAAAAGGTGCAATGTAGTTAAGGAAGTCTAGGATGTGATCACTAGGGGGACGGATGAACTAATGCAGAATTAAAAGACGAGAAAGCGTGGTTATGCAACATGTTTGGGAGGGTGGATCAGAATAACTTTGAAGTAGAACTAACAACAAGTTGGATGATTTGGCAAAATAGAAACGTAGCAGTCAAAACCAATGAACGTAGAAAGGTAGAAGAAACTGTAGTATTTATTGGTAAATATTTGGAAGAGTATAGAGAATCTCAAACACGTTTGGCTCCTAATACTATCAATGTGAATGCAAGATGGGAAGCACCAGAGGTAGAAACTGTCAAAGCAAATTTTGATGGGGCGTTGAATGCAGAAGAGAGTGTATGCGGAATAAGGATAATGATCAGGGATGAAACAGGTCAAAAACTGGAAGCACACTCAACTATCATGGTAGACACCCAATTGGGTCCAGGCCCAGATCAATTGGGCCTGGCCCAAATGGATAAATCCAATTCAATTTTTATTTGGTATTATTTTTATTTTATGTATTGTATTATTTATTATTATTATTATGTATTAATATATATATCTTTATTTATTTATTTATTTATTTTGTTAATATTTATATGTATTTTATTTATATAATTATATATTTATTATATTATTATTATTATTTTTTTAAATATATTTTTGAGTTTATCTTATTTTATTTATTATTATTATTATTATTTTTTAAATTATCTGTTAATTTTATCTGATTTTTTTTCGATTATCTGATTAGTATTATTATTTTTTGTTTTCTTTTTTTGATGGCTGTGATTGAAAGTTGAAAAATCCCATTGTGAATGAGAATTCAATCAGAAGAGTTCAGATTGGATTCAAAGATTGAATTCCCGTCCAAGGAGGAATTGGGATTGATCAGGAACTCCTGATCAATCCCTATAAAAGAGACCTCTGGAACAGAATGAAGAACATTAAAAAAAAGGTAAGCAAAGCTACTAATTTTTGAGAGAAAAAAAGTGTATAGAAGAGTTTTCGAAGGTTAAAGAAGGTTGAGAAGTGTTAGAATAGCTGTAGGGATCGAAAATAATTTTTTAGAAATTTTTGGCGAAAATTTTTCTAGAAATTTCTGGGAAATTTCCAGATTCCGACGAATTTTCCAACAAGGGTTGAATTTTTCGACAAAAATTTCGACCAAATTTGAAGTTTTCGACGACCTGCCCAGTTTTCGACGAGGATCCAGAAACCGATCAACTTTCTGACCAACTTCCGGAACTTCTTACGAAAAAACCCAGATTCCAATGAAAAATTCCAGAATTCGATGGATTTTCAACCGGAGTTCTTCGATCTTTTAGAGAGAAGGAAGAGAAAAGGGAAGGAAGAGAGAGAGGGGGGAGAAGGTTTCTGTCGAAAAATGAAGGGAACTGCCTTTTATACCCTCTCAAAACGACATCGTTTTTGCCTTAAGTGATCCAGAGGATCCGTGCGTTTTGTCGAGACCCGACCCGACCCGAGCGTCGACCCGCTTCCTGACCCGCGCATGCCTGCCCCCCTTCGAGCCAAGCCGAGCCGAGCCGAGCCTCCCAAGCAGCCCCCGAGCCGTTTCTCTTCCTTGAGCCGAGCCGAGCTGATAGCCGAGCTGCTCCAGATTTTTTTTTTGAATTTTTTTATTTATTTGTTTTATTTATTTTTTCATTTATTAGATTAGATTTATTTAATATTTTTTATCTTTATCTTATTTTTATTTTTGTTTTACTTTTGTTTTACTTTTTTTATTTTTTTATTTTTTTTTCACTTTTATTTTTTTTTATTTTTTTAAAAATAAAAAAATATATTTTTAGGAAAAAGTTGAAAGTATCAATTTTCTTTGAAAATTAAAATTTCCAAAAAAATATTTTTAGGGAAAGGTTGAAAGTAGTCCTTAAAAAAAATTTTTCAAAAAAAGATTTTTGAGGAAAAGTTGAAAGTATCAATTTTTTTTGAAAATCAAAATTTTCAAAAAATATCTTTAGGGAAAAGTTGAAAGTATCAATTTTTCTTAAAAAAAAAAAAATTTTCAAAAACAAAGGATTTTTGGGAAAAAGTTGAAAGTATCAATTTTCCTTGAAAATAAAAAATTTTCAAAAAATATTTTTAGGGAAAAATTGAAAGTATCAATTTTCCTTTAAAAATAAAATTTCAAAAAGAGGTTCTTAAGGAAAAGTTGAAAGTATCAATTTTCCTTAAAAATAAATTTTCAAAAAAAGGGTTTTTGAGGAAAAGTTGAAAGTATCAATTTTCCTTGAAAATCAAAATTTTCAAAAAAATATTTTTGGGAAAAAGTTGAAAGTATCAATTTTTCTTAAAAATAAATTTTCAAAAAATATTTTTAGGGAAAAGTTGAAAGTATCAATTTTCTTAAAAAAATAAATTTCAAAAAAATATTTTTTGGGGAAAAGTTGAAAGTATCAATTTTTTCTACACAAGAACAATAATCCTTTCCTTGCTTTCTATTTTGATCTTGATTTTTATTTTCCTTAATTAATCCGACAACGGAGCCTCTGCAAGTGAAACAGTAGTTTTCTTGCATACTCTTGAGGTGAGGGAATTTTCTCAATTTTCTGCTAAAAGTATTAGAGTCAATTGAGAATGATTTTCAATAGATAATTACTTGGTAAAATTTTAAGGCTTATTGGATAACATAAAATTATGCTGGTACCATCTTTTGATGGGCGTTGTGAGGGTGCTATAACCTTCCTCACACGTAACCGAACTCTCGAACCCTATTCTGATTAGTAGACCTGAACTTATTCTTTTAGAGACCCTTAAACTTAGGCGTTCCCTGAAAGGACAGATTTCTTAGGTGGCCAATCGCACCTAGATAAAAAAGATTGATGGCGACTCCCTTAAGTCAATGTCTAGCGATAGATCCCT